GTCTCCTGCCTCTGCCTCCCAAGTAGCTGGGACTACAGGCACCCGCCACAACGCCTGGCCATTTTTTGGTTGCAGCCATCATTGTTGTTTGGCAGGTCCGGGCTGGGGATTCGAACCCGCCACCTTAGGTGTATGTGGCTGGCGCTTTAGCCGCTTGAGCCACAGGCGCCGAGCCCAAAGGATGTTTCTTTCTCACTCAAAGGAATTTCAAAACAGGACCCTGAGCAGTGATTCAGGGACGGAGTGGGCCCCTCCATCTCATGGATGCAGCATGCTAAAGCATGGCTTCTGAAGTCCCTGTGCTCATCAGTATCAAGACGGGATGGGGAAGGTCATGGGGAATTTCCAAGGAGATTTTTATGGGCCAGACCTGAGAATGGCCACTTCACTTCCGTTCCTGTTCCATTGGCTAAAACTCAGTAAGGCTGTGTTTCTTGCAAGGAAAGGAGGTCCATTAGCCCAGGAAAAAGAGAAAATGATTTTGTTTACACACAGCAGTCTTGGCCACAGTATACCCCTCAAGTCAATCAGTCCAAGTTGCTTTTTTCCCCACTTGTAGAACATGTTTGAGGCCTCCCATGTGAGACAACCCGAAGTCCCACTTACCAGCTGCTGCATATAGAGTGTGCATTCTCTCCCTCGGGTCTAAGTGCAACCCCTTATGTCTCACCAGGATAACCGCCCCAAAGGCTCTCATTTTATAAAGCAATGATTACAGCAGGCCTATGATTACCTAGCATGTCTAACCCACATGAGGAAACTGCCTAGTTTTGACCTTGATCTCGTCGCCTGGGAGGAACTTCCTTGTTGGTCCTTCTGTTTGGCCTCTAGCTCCACCTTCTCAGCCTTATCCGTTATCCTCCATAGTCACATCTGAACTGGGGTGGGAGGCATGTGTTCCTTGAAGCTTGTGCAGACTGTGTTCTGCTCCGGGAAAGGTGGGATTGTTTTGAAGCTCATACCACCCAAAGGCTTTTTAAAGCTCATGATTTCTTTGAACATATGATCCCTTCAAAAACTCAATAGGTTTCTGATCCATTTAGACCAAATGACTCCTTGTGTTAGGAACCACTCTCAAAAGTTCTTAGATATAGTTTGCAATCCTAATTCATTTCTTTGTCTCAACTTCAAGACAATTAACTTCAGAGATTATCTAAAACTGTAAATTTGGGTGGTAAGTCCAGGGTGTATGTTGTAGTTTCTAGTAGAATTGTTAGAAAATTATGTAACAGAACATACAGTTAACAAACTAACGAGGGAAGGGCGCCATAATAAAATATAATCAATCCAAAAGAAGAAAAGAAAGAAGAGGAAAAAATATAGAAGAGGCATGACAAATAATAAGAAAATAGTAAGAATGGCATATTTAAATCCAAATAGATAAGTCATTATTTACATTAAATGTAAGTAGACAGACTGCTCCAATTAAAAGACAAAGATTGTCAGATTCAATTTTTTAAAAAGCCTGTATACTGTTTACAAGAGACATACCTTAAAAATAAAGATATGCAAAGGATAAAGAGATAGAAAATTTCTACTACCCTGTTCCAGTTCTTATTGCTTATGCCTTCAAAATTTAGTGTCATAAAACAACCATTTTGTCATGTTTATAACCAGGAACCTGGAAAAGGGATAGTAGGGTTAGCTTATTTTTGTCCCAAGATGTTCTGAGGCTTCAACTGAAAGGTTTGACGATTAGGGATGACTTTAAGGCTGAGGGTGATTCACAGAGGTATCTTCACGTGTTTGGCGATTCATGTTTAGATTTTTCTGGGATGTTGGCGAGAATATGTAAGATGGTCTCTCCATGTGGGCCAGTGTGGCCTTCTCAAAGCAAGGTAGCTAAATTCCAAGAGTTGCATCCAAGAGAAAAAGACATAGTATTTTAATTTTTCTTATCTAGCCTCAGAGTACTTCTGCTGTACCCTGCTGTCATCAAGTTTCAAGGGCAAGCAATGTAGACTCCATTACTCCATGAGAGGTATCCAGGTAATATTCTAAAGAGAGTAAGCGGGATGAGAAATATCGTGGTCATCTCCGGAAAACACCAGCTGCCCCAAATGGAAACACTAAACAAAAGCTAACCAGTGAAGCTACAGTGATACTAAACAATGCAGATTTTAATGTAAGCATTATTAGAGACTAAGAGGAACGTTTCGTAACCATTGAAGTTTCAGTTCACCTGGAAGATACAATTATCTCCCCATTATCCAACACCCAGAGGGATTGGTAGATTCCAGATAAATTTAGTTTCTGGTTCTTGAGAGTTACTATTAAAAATAGGCTAATTAATTCTATACTCCATACTATACCATATCATACACTCTGCATTGACGTGATATCAACACTGAAACACATTCATTAAAAGCAAATAAGACAAATGAAGACGAACTTCACTTACTGTAAGTAACTATAACACAGTTTTACTATATTATAAAACAGCTTTGTAAACATAGTGTACAGTTTTAGTTAAATGCCAGTCAGTATGCTTTTCAACTACTACCATTTTTTTTTTAACTTCAAGTAACACACATTAACACTTAACAATGTTACAGAGAACACATGGGAGCCAAGGGCGGGATACATCAGCACTGGTTTACAGCTGGCATGGAGCACCAAGCTTAAACTCTGATTTTTTTATTTTTTATTTTTGGCAGGGTTGTGTGCCAGTTGCTTGAGAGTGCTGCTTGGTTGAGTTCTGGATGATGAGAATTTACTACATAATAATTTAAAATTTCTATGTATAATAATATAACTTCAAAATATACAAAGCAAAAAAAAATGACAGAATTGAATGAAAAATTAAAATTCACTATCTTAGTCAACTGTGTGTATTAAAAAAAAAAAAAACTATCTCAGGCTCAGCGCCTGTAGCTCAGCCGTTAGGGCACCAGCCACATACACGGGAGCTGGTGGGTTCAAATCTAGCCAGGCATTGTGGCGAGCACCTAAAGTCCCAGCTACTTGGGAGCCTGAGGCAAGAGAATTGCTTGAGCCCAAGAGTTTGAGGTTGCTGTGAGCTGTGACACCATGGCACTCTACCAAGGATGACAAAGTGAGACTGCCAAACGACAGTGACAACTACAACCAAAAAATAGCCAGGCATTGTGGTGGGCACCTATAGTCCCAACTACTTGGGAGGCTGAGGCAAGAGAATCACTTAAGCCCAAGAATTAGAGGTTGCTGTGAGCTGTGACACCACAGCACTCTATCGAGGGTGACATAGTGAGACTGTCTCAAAAAAAAAAAACAAAAAACTAACAATCTCAGAAAGTGATAGAATGAGGCAAAAAAATGTTAGGAATATAGGAAGTTTGAACAAAACAGTAAATAAAATTAACCTAATTAGCATTTAA